TAACTAATGATGATACAATAAAAATAATAAAATAATAATTTATTGTTCATAATAGATATGATATAATTTTTTATGTCAGATTACAGAATAATTACACGTTACTAAAAATAGTAATGATGATCTCCACTTCAAGGCAATTGGGAAAACGATGGGCTCTGGAAACTGAGCATAACATTTTGCTTTTAGCTACCGGAGAAAATGCTCCTTTTTTAAGTCACCAAGAAACAATAGATTATGGTTATTTAAGCAAAACCAAGGCCAAAATCAAAGCAATTATTCTGCTTAACACTCTTCCTAAAAACTGTGACTTTTTGCCGTAAATATCACGTGAGACTAACTTATCGAGAGTAATTTACATATATCCTAGAAGAAGGGTTGGCTGACTTACAGCTTATCATGATTTTATATAGATTGACCAACTTATCAAGAGATTCTAAATATTGAAAAAAAGGGCTGAAAATTTTTGGCCGAGTTAGGCCGAATCCGACTTATCAAGAGACCGACTTATAGAGTTTACCTGTGTATATAGTTGGGCTCTATAATAAGACAAAAATAAATTAGCTGATAGTTGTAACCTGTCAGCAAAGCGATGGGGCTACAACTAGTAATAATTATAATAGAGATATACTTCAAAAAAAAATTTTTTTAATTAAATATTAGTATTGTGGTGATAATCACCACCAGTGAGAAATAGCAATCCCTTTTTATTATTTATTTCTTAAAAACTATTACCTTTTGACCAAGTGAAATAACATTCAATCAATCATCTGGTTTCTTTTTCAATAAAACATCTTTGTGGTCAGAAATTAAAAAGTAGAGTTTAATTGTCCATTCAGTTATCAGAGCAGTATAGAACTCTGAGGTTGCTTTAATAAAGAAAGCAAAGGTTTGGTTTTTGTTTTTTGTTAAGTGTAAATGTTTTTGTTTAAGTTTTTGTAAAAATGTAAGACTGATTGGAAAAAGTATTAAGTGTTAACAATTATTATTGATTGACCGTCTATTATAAAGAGGTTGACCAGAAAGCTACCTCACAGTATTATGATCAAGATGATCGGTGAGCCCATTGTTTACTATTAATTTACCACGTGATTCACCCTACCCTTAAGAACAAGATCTATGAACAAAACATACTAATGAATGTTTTATCAATTATTCAATAGTTTGTGTAGGAGTTGATCGAAGTAAGCATTAAGGACAAGATCTGTGAACAAAGTATACTAACGAATGTTTTATCAATTATTCAATAGTTTGTGTAGGAGCGATCGAAGTAAGCATTAAGGACAAGATCTGTGAACAAAATATACTAACAAATGTTTATCAATTATTCAATAATTTGTGTAGGAGTGATCGAAGTAAGCATTAAGGACAAGATCTATGAACAAAACATACTAACAAATGTTTATCAATTATTCAATAATTTGTGTAGGAGTGATCGAAGTAAACAAAATATATTAATGACGTTTTATCAATTATTCAATAGTCTGTATAGGAGTGATCGAAATAAGTGTTAATGGCAAGATCTATGAATCTTGCAAAGCAAGTTTTACAAAATGAACGTTTTATCAATAATCCAATAGTAATGTTTATTATTTATTTATGTATGTATATAAATTTCTCTTTTATTTTGACATATTTAATAACATCACTATGATAAATAATTAAATGAATAAAGTCAGATCAGAGATAAAACGCCATTTAATTTAATCATTATTGTTGCTTGTTTATTATTCTAATCATTATTTATGTATATAGGTAAAGAAAAATTTTAAAATCTATTTATTTATTATATTTACTTTTAAAATAAATGATTTTACTATAAAAGACATACCTAAGTGATCAAAAATCTGTAAATATTCATAATAATGTAATATTTGGACATTTATTTCTGCTTATACTTGCAATTGGACGCGTCAAACAAAATTTTACGCATATGAATATAAAGGCAAAATTTGACTTTGAGGGTCAGATTATTTTCGGTTTTATTGACAACCTGCCTTAAAAATTTTCTTAAAGCAGATACATATGATAAAGAAGTTATATCTCAAATTTGGTGGTGGTGGTGGTGGGCAAGGGTATCAAACGAAGGTGTGAAGCATTCAATTATAAAATTTTACTATATATAATAAAAAAAAAAATCAAGACTTTAGATAAGGAATAAATAGAGACGGGAAATTATAATAGTCCAATTTTGCAGCCTGTTTACAAAAAACTATATTATGACAAACACCTTTCGCCTGTCATTTTCATGGTTTGCCCGCGAATAATAAAAAGGACAGTGGGACGGGTGGTAATGGCACAGTAACATGTCCTTTTCAAGATTTACCCATAAATAATGGAAAAGAACAGGGGATGGGTTTCTACGCCTTCACCACGCCACATCTGTTCCACGTTTGTTGCCCGTTCTTTTTTACATTATTTTACAGAATACCCGTACCATCGCCCATCCTTTTCTAGTATTAATGGGCCAAACTTGAAAAGGACGGGAGACGGGCAGGTTTGGCTTGAACCTGTCCCCCGTCCTTTTCCAGCATCCCCAATTAGCTATAGGATCTTCCTGATTTAGTGTAATAAGGTTTACTTGTTATAAAAGATTATTGTGCAAAAATAGAATTTGATATGCATGAATTCACAAGATCCTGATCCAATGAACATTCATGATGCAATTCAATTTATTTCAAATGCTTAGAATAATGTTAATGAAAACATGATAAATCATCTTGGAAAAGATCAGGAACACTTCCTAATAATGATTTATTTTTTGAAGATAATTTCAATGACAATAATCTGGAATCAGATTTAAATGAATTAACGAGTGTAATTGAACAGTTGTCTGGACCTGGTTCAATTGAGGCAGATGAATATGTTTTCATTGATCAACAAGTTGATTTTGAAGAAGAGATGTCAATGGAAAAAATAGTTAATATTATTAGTGGAATAGGTTCAAATGAAATCAAAGAAAATATTACTGAAGAAAAAGTTAGTAATAGTGATGCTTTAGAAAGTGTTAATAAAGTTCTAAATTTTATTCAACCAAATGATTTGAGTGTAGATTCACAATTAGTTAGAGGTCATCATAAAGTAAAGAGAAATATTATGTTAATAAATTTTAATAATGCTAAACAAGCTGACATTAATGAGTACATAGATAGAAATTAAAAGCAATAATTGTTTTTTTAAAAAATAATAAAAGAACTATTTTATCTCATTATAATGTATTAAATATCATTTAATTATGGCCTACACTGTAACCCGAAATTTTTGATATGTGGATTTGCTGCACCAACATCTACACTGTATCGAGTTTTGCTGTGTAGTCTCTCCAATAGTTCAAATTTAATTTAATTCCTGTTAGGTAATTCTTATCTTCTTTCAACAAACAATTAATTAATATTTTGATGCATTCATATGAATAAAATGGGTTTCGCCATAAATTTGAATGCTGACATTGTGCCATTGTTTGTTAACAAGAGTGCAATAATATAATGTTTTGTAATCAACAGCTTTGAATATTTCAACTAAAAGCTCAGGAGGTATATTTGTTGTCACCCGTCTATTATTATAATAATTAAATAAAAAACAGTTCAAAAATAAATTAACTAGAGTGACGGCGAGTGGCAATAACCACCACTATTCTTATGATAAACACTTGCCTGGCAATCTCACTTTGATTTTTTCCTTGTTTTCTTCTTTCTTTTCGCGGCATTTTAATTTTTAATTTTTTGTAAAATAAAATATTATTATTATTCCATAAATGCATACCCTCCATACTCTGCGCTGCACGGTATTTTTTCAGTCCATTCACATGAAAATTCTCTCCATAAATGCACGCGACTAATGTATAAAAATTCATCATAAATTTAAAAAATAAAAAAAAAAAATCATCAGCAAAAATTTTTGGATTTTTGATTTGATTGGATAATTTCCAATGTAATAACAGTATAATTGTTTCAATGGATTATAATTAAATTCACGTTTCAATGGAAAATCCGTTGAAACACGATTATAATTAATAATTTTGTTTTCAATCACTCCGTTGAAACAAGGTTATACTTTATTTGCTATACATAATGGAAATATTTTTAAAAACAATCATGTCAGCAAACTTTTTTATATATTAATATGCGTATTTGCATTTCTATTCCTTTATCTAGGCACTGTATATATTAAATAAACTAAATATAATATTATAAACCTCAGTTCAACAGCCAAACTGGCAGCTTATGAACTGAATCGTCCTCATTCTCAATGAAAAGAAAAAGATTAACGATATCATAAAAACACACACGTCAGAAAAATTGGACAGATTCTTTACTCTTCACATCCACCAATCCCACATGACAAACTGCAGGTTCGTTTCTGGATAACTTTCTTGTTCTTTTAAATTAGATGCATCGAATGAAAAGCGTACCTTGATATCCAATTTATGTAATATTTCTTTTTGTCTAATGAATATTAAAAATTAATGAAACTTGCATTTGCCATTGACTGCCACATTCATTCCTTTATGGTATTTAGAAAGGACCTGCAAACTTCATAGATAGATTACTACCGCAGCTGAGTCAAATTCATATACAAATTAAAATATTTGTCAATAATTATAATAGGGTCAATTAATTTAGTGTTAGGATCAATCTGTGGGTCAAATTATTATATTAATGGGACTTTCAATTGGAAGTCTAACATGCGTAGATCCAGATTTTAAACTGTCACAAAATTGAAAAAAAATTTTCTTTTTTACAAGAGTGAGTATTTTATTATTTATTTACATTGATTCTAGGCCCTCTCGAAGCTCTGTGGAATTATCAAAATAATTACATTCTAGGAGTCAATTTGTGGCCAATAAAAATTAAATATAGTCTTTCCTTATGGTCGTTGTTGAATAATTATTCGAATATTATTCATACAGCATTACCCAGGGCAGATACATATTCAATTCAATTAATATAAATTGTTGAATAAATACGAATACAAATATAAATATAATAACTTTTCTTATTATCTTTAATAGTTATATATACAAACGCTGAACAATGTCAAGAGTTCTGAAAACAAATAAACAAGATTTATCAAGGTTTTACTCAAGAAAAAGAAACACGAACGGAAGAAAAGATTGATGATAGTGATTGATTACTGTGATTTTGATTATTGCAAAGTGCAAGGTTTTCTTTTGTTAATTTAATTTAATTTTTAATAATGATTAATATTAATAAATTTATTTCAAAGGATAGGTTTGATCTACATAGTAAAATCAAATATGAAAGTGTCTGCCAGTGAATCTCAAAGATATCGTGTAATGCTTCTTTATAAAAATATATAAAAATACATGGCTTAGAATCACACCTTTTCATTATATGTAAAAAATGTAAAAGGTTGTATTAAAAAATAAAGGGTTTTACCATTTATAAAGTTCAAACTCCAAATTCTCTATATTGAACTCTTGCTAAACTTTCAAATATCTCTCCCAACCCCCAAACATCTATACCGAATCAATAATATTTATCAAACTTCTCTAACTTCTATTTTCATGATTTTTTTAATTCATTTTTGTTTTAGAATCCCATACTGGATACAATACCATTATGGAAAAAGCTGATTGTAAAAGTAACAGGTGTAAATTTATCTTCAAAAGCAACCTTGACACTTGCAATTGACTATGGAACCCAAGAAAATCAAGTAAAGTATTATGTAGAAAATTCAGGCAATAAAGAATTATTGAATGATTGGACGCAAAAAACTATAGAAGGAAAATTGGATCAATAATACTTGTTGATACAAACAAACATCCCACCAAGTTATTTACTCAATCAACCCTGCCTAACTTGTCATAACCCTGATCCGTCTAAAAAAATTTGCAAGTTCATATAATCTTCAAATCACAATCAATTGCAGAATATAATAGTGAATCACCTGATGAAAAATTTTCTTCGCAGAAGATGTTGGTGGTCATCAAAAAATCATTACCATGATATACAAAATGAACATTTAGCGAATATAACAAATGAATTGCACAAATTTCTTTAACCAAAGCAATTGCATATAAAAGCAAGGAGGTAGAAACCAGTCTAGAAGATCACTCACTGTGTATTAATTAATATCCATATTAACACAGCACAATCCTTGTTTGACGAGTTTTTGTATACATTCAGTTCAATTTATACTGTGAGCTATTGATGATTATGATAAAAATAAAAAGGAATTTGAATCTCGGCGTGTGGCACTAAAGAACTTAAATAATTCAAATAATCCTGGAAAGGCCAATCCAATTATTCTAGAATTAGTTAGATCAACGTTAGCTATAGCGTGACAAAGTTCCTAGAAAGCGGAAATCATGTGGTGGTTTAGTATTAGAATGTTTTCCAGAGGGAAATTTGAAGAGATTCTTTACAAAAAAAAAAAAATTTAAATTTGACATTAAAAGACAGAATTATAATTTTTAAATCTTTATGTCATATGATGTACACAAAGAATGTTTAATCATTGTGATTTTATAGTGATAATACTCCCCGACCTTCGTTTGTTGTTGAAGAGGTTAATTTTATTCGAGAAAAGGGAAATCGTTCCATTTGTATTTCTAATTTAGTAATTTCTTGCTGTTTTTGAAGTATTGCCTTTATCTCTTTCTCACTAATTTCACTACTACTAGTTAATTTATTCTTAGTTTTTTCTAGTTGCTTTTGGATAAAAACATTGTTAAACTTTACTAGCTCAACTTGAGCCTCTAATAAATCATCCAATAATTCTTTTTGTTCCATTTTACTTTTCCCCTTTATTACAATAAGCAGGTTGTTCAACTCTGATTTGTGATCAATCAATTTCCTTTCTAATAATTCTTTTTCTAGTGAATACACTTTTTTTCCCAACTCAGTAACCTTTTCTCTAAGTTTTCTGTTTTCTGTTTGCTCCAAACATAAATATTGTTTTAATTCCTGTTTTTGAGCAACTAATTATTGCTTTTGACTAACTGATAAGCCTAGATCTGATTGTTTTTGTCCCAAGGCTTGCTTAATTTTATCTAATTCTAACCGTTTTTCTCCTATCTCTTTTTTAAGTTCTTCATTTTCTTTTTGCAAATTCAAATTTCCTGGTGGCGCTGAGTTTTGCGAATTGTCATAGAAACAATAGTAAGGATTACCAAACCCAAATCCACCTCTATTTCTTTCGTGATCTTCATTAAAGGCTTTACGGAACCCACAAGTGAGACAAAGATTATAGTAAAAACTATTATTGTTACAACTATTACATTTTGACATAATGAATTATTTTGGTAAAAATTAATTTATTTAATAATTTTTTTTTCATTTTTGGTATTGGCGTTTGTCCTACCAAATATTTACTACACCCCAAAATAAATCCTTTTCTTAATACTGTAAAATTCCAGCAGCATCAATTCCCGGTATATAGGAGATTGTTTAGCATTGTTGGTAATAATAAGATTACCAAACGCACAAATTTGAAACCAAGTATTGTAAAAAAAATTGATCTTTTTAAAACAGAATATAGAAAATCAAATTTTCTCATTCTACGTTTAAAGGGTCGTGTAATCTTTGAATGATGTTTATGAAGATTTGCTGCTCAAGTCATTATTGTTTCCTTTTCTGAACTCCGTCACCACTTTGAAGTTTTGCTTTGTGCAAAATTGGGATAGAACCACTCGATTTTTCATTATATACGAACGATCTGTGTTCCAAATTTGCTCCTATGAACAACTCACTCACTGCTGCAACTGGAAACACTGCTGACGATTTTACCGCTTCTGTCACCGCTGAACTCCTATAATCTACAACTGTATATATATAAGCACGCAAAGAGTCATCAATTTGTTGTATGCGCTAATAATGAATTATAAATAAATCGTTGCTACTCTTTTTGCGCAGTTTCTTCTTGCAAGGAGAAGAAAAAAGAACGAAATTGGTAGATTGTAAATGTCTCTAAATTTTTTTAAAATCTAAGCTGATTTGCTTAGAATCATTTAAAATGTGTGTGATATATAAAAAAAATTGTTTTCTTACATTAATTCGGATCCAACATAAAGAAATTTCCAACTATTAACATAATTGAATTCTTGAATCACAGATTCTGCGTTATTCCGACGAGTGTTTCATCGTCCATTCTGCTACAATATTTATATAAAACGTTGTTTATTAAAAAAGATAAAAAAAACAAGTCTAATTGTCCTTAACCACACATTAATTACTTTGTCGGTAAATAAATCAACAAAAATATTTTTATATTCAGAGACCAATCGAATGTCTATATCTTTATATCTTCTTAGGTTCTCAATTATATAAAGAACCTAAAAAATCGGGTGGTGGGCAACGCATAGTTACGCGTAGCGATTCAATGCAAAGCGAGGCACCTTTAAAGAAACCGAATATTTCCGTACAAGTTAAAGAATTTTTGGTTTTTTTTATTTTTGTTAATATTAATGTTAATAATAATGAAAAAATAAAATTTATTTGTTGTCTTTGTTTTACAGCATTAATAAAATATTGGTACATATATTATATATATTTATATTGTATTTTATCTACTAATGTATCTATCTATCTACAATATCTTTATTATTAGACATATATGATATTTATTATGATGATGATGATGATGATGATGATGATGATGGTGATGATGATGGCGCTGTTAATGAAATATTATTATAATTATTATTATTATTACTAGGTTTTTTTTGTCTTGACTTTAGTTTTAAATTATTATTTCCATCATCATATTCATCATCATATTCATCATCATTATCATCATCACCATCCAAGTCATCATCATCATCATCGTCGTCGTCGTCACCATCATCATCCAAGTCAGCATCATCTTCAGCTTCTTTTTTTGCAATATATTTTAATAAATCTTTAACAGTAATCAAACCAACTAATCTATCTATATGTTCAATTAATATTACTCTTGGCCTAAAATCAAATAAAAAAAAGGTATCGATTAAAAGAAAAATTTTGAAATCAATATAATTGTTTTTATGGAATCAATTACCCACCCCATTTTCTTAAATAAATCCATGACGGTTTCTAATGGCAAACGAGGATTCACTGTTATAGGCGTCTTATTATTAATTAATCATTGTTTTAAAAAGTTGTGTAAGTAGTAATAATTATTCATAATTAAGCAACAATCATTGTTTTGTTAATAATTACCTGATCAACAAAAGGACCAAAATCTATAAAATTAGATGATGAACTGCTATTACTACTTTCTCCATCACCACCACCAACATCAGGATCATTATTAGTAGTAACATAAATGCTATTATTATTAAAATCATCAAAACTACTAAAAAAACAATGCGCAGTTCCAATTGATGTTCCTTTTATTCTTTTTGCTTTATCTAATTTATTCATTTTCCATAATACAAATAAATATATAAGTTAACGTATATAAATATCAAATAAAACCATAATTAGTTGGATTAGTTACCAATTGCGTATTTCAGTTCAGGACGTCCTATATGTCCTAAAAGTTGCATACTTCTTTTATCTTGTACCACTGGAAACCCTTGAAAATTTGATTCTGATAATATTCGTTCTGAATTTTTTTTAATATTATACATAAAAAAAAATAAAAATTAATCTTTTTTTTTAAATAAAGAATTAAAAATAATAATAATAACATATACTCCTTTATTATTATTATTACCAATTTCGTCCAATTTTAATCCTGATGCTGTCATTACTGTAAGATTTTTTCTCATAATGGTTGCAACTATCATATAATCATCACCAAAACAATAAACAATTATATATTTATATAATACAATCTAGAAAGAAGAAAATTATTTAAAAAAATAATCCCATTCAACTAACCTGGAACACCAAATGTATATTCTTCTTTATCCAAAAATGGAAATCCATTTAATCTTATCATTTGGTCAGCAGTAAATTAATTAAAAAAAAAAAAAGTAATTAAGGGGAAATAATTAAATAAATGAATAATAAACAAGTAATTATAGTGCAGGAATTTGGGTAGGTGAGAGAAAATTTTAAAAGTTAAAGGATATATTCCACCTTTTCCAAATAAATCACCAACTGTCTTGGTAACCATCAAGGTAATCTGTATATATCAAATAATCACATGTGTGTAAGTATCAAGATAAAGAGAAATAGAAACAGAAATAGAAAGATAAATGTATTATTAATGAATCAAGTCACCATTGTTGGTAATATGTAAGTTAAAGCACCAGTCAACTCAAACATAATAACAACTATACAAACTATAAAGTTTTTAATTTTTAAAATAGATTTAACATTTTTATTTTTTTTTATTGAATAATAATAATAATAATAAAGAATGATAATAGTACCTGTGAGATGCATAACCCCACTAATTTATAAAAAAATATTTAATTAAATTTTAATACAATAATACTAAAAAATATAAAATGATAAATTTCAACAAGTATATAATTAATTACACACCCAAGTGCAGCAGCAGCACCCAAAAATGCGTACATTCCTGGTGTGACACACTAAAGTTCAAAAAAAAAATTTTTTATAATAAAATGTATAAATAAATTAATATTGAAAGTTCATTGAAAAAAAACTCAAAGCATACGTATAAATATATATTTGATACTAACAGGGACATCAGGTTTACAGCTTGCAAATAGTGGAAATTCAGGATATGCTCTAGATAAAATAATTAATAATTAATATATCATACATGACAAAACATACAAAGTGTAATTAAATAGTATTTTACATATATAAAGCCTTAACAAAAAGTCCTAAAAATCTACCAAAAGTTGCACCAACAGCCATCGAAGGAATAAATATACCAGCTGGAACCTACAATTAATTTATTAATTAATTGAGATTTTAAGATTTAGTATTTTGAAATATTGTAATCATCATCATCATCATTATTAGATTTATATTATTATTAGAAGAATAAACAAATACTTTTGTTCCATAAGTGATTATAATAAATCCAAAACGTAAAACTGTTGCTATAAATAATAAACAAGCCATTCTAAACATTTCAGAATCCCTAAATATTATACATCACATATATATCATAGGTGAATAATGAGCATAAGCATTAAATATTTCAATTCCCAATTCCTCACAAATTCCAATACTCAACATACTTGCATAAACCTTCATAATCATGAGTTTTTGTTTCACATTCTTGAAACAAAATTCCCAAAGTTTCAGTCATATCCATTTTCATAAATATATTAAGGTACCCAATAAATGCTGTTATGGAAGCAAGTATAGCAGCCTCATAAACTGCATAGTAGTCTTTTAGAAGGAATTTTTTACGAAATGATTGAATCATTAGATTATATCTAATAACCAGTGCGCCATATAAACCCTATAAATATTTATGACAATGATTAGTACAAGATGAGGACGATGATGATAAAGAGTTATTATTTCATTTTGTATAAAAAACCCGTATCAATAACTCACACCAAATATTCCTAATATTATAAAGAAAAAGATTTCAAAGAAATGCCAATCCCGATCGTACTCAACTTGGAACATTACCAATTTACCAGTTCTAAAAGGATTCATTGCCTAAAAATTTTTATTAATTATATATTTATGATAATAAATTTGACTACCATGGCAATTGGAAATTGATTGTAATTACTTGTAATACAACAGTTGCAACTAATGCACAAAAGAAACTTCTCCACATTGTTTTCATTGGAAAATTTGAACTCATTTCCTACAAAAAAAAAAATTTTTTTTTAATCAAAAATCGATAATGAGAATAAGAATGGAACGAAGAGAAATTATATTATGAGCTACTTACCTCATAAGAAAATAAAACACCACCAATTGGTGATCCGAAAGCAACAGCAACACCAGCTGCACAAGATGCAGATGTAATTTCTCTCATTTTAGCTATCAACAAAAATAACATGTAAACATTTTTATTCAATAATCATCATTGCTATTGTTATTGTTATTTGTAGCAATGATGGTGATAGTGGTTGTTAGTACCTTTGTTTATTTTATACTTTCCAAATAATCTTGAAACAACATTTCCAATACAAGCAGCTGTATGTACTGATGGACCTTCTTTACCAATACTTAATCCTGATGCAATTGCCAATGGCTAATTAACAGAAATTATTATAGATTTATTATTATAATATATGCATTTTATAAGATAAATAGATAATAATATCTATCTTTTCATTAAAAAATAGAACAATAAAAGCTATATATATAATTGATTAATTACCAAGCCAATACTTTTCAATAATAAAGTCCTACCA